GTCTTGTTGTTAGCGTTGCTGAGTCGAGAACCCACAACCACCTGATGTTTCTTAAGATGTAATTGCTTCTTGGCATGAGCAGAATTTTTCTATGAAGAGTAAGAAATTAAACAAAATTTCAGAATAGAAAAAAGACGATTAGAAATACTACTTTCTTGGAAGTCAAAGATGCGGCGTTTCGTGTACGCACAGATACTATAATGTTTGGCTATCAGCATAGTGGTATCCTGTGATTAGCTGTTGTTGTCAGGAACAAGGGCACAGCGCCCTCATGTCATGGCCATGCCACCCCTTACCCTAGAGAGGAGATCTTCTGGCAACCGAAAAATTTTGATTGACCAGGGATCACATGTGGCCACAATATTCAACTGTGACCAGTCTGATAGTAATTTTGGCCATTTTGGATAGTAAGAAAGCCATCGAACGCTCCATTTTAACTTATCAAAAACTCCCTGGTAGGGAGAACCCTATCTCCCCCACTGGTGGCGCTGCTGAATTGCAGTGCACCCTCTTGCAGTTTTTTTTTTAGAAAAACCCCTGATTATATATTATAGTATGCATATTACTTAACATTACTCAACATAAAAACTTCAAACAAAGTTTTTCTGACAAAATTGTGAGCAGTTTGTTCTAAATTAATTATATGTACACAATCTTTCGTTGCCGATTGTAGCTTAAACAAAAATACAGAGAAACAACAAAAATATAAAAGCATTCATACCGTATCTTATTTCTGAATTTCCATGGACAGGCCTGAAGTTTGTGGATTTATTTTATTATTTCCTGAATTCTTAATTATTACCCATAAGGCCAGACTTTTTTTATTCCTTGTTTCTCGAGTTTTTATAAGGCAATTTTTTTGAGGAGGGCGAAAAAAAAAAAATTAATTCTTTTTTTCTATTAGATTTGTGTGATTCTCAAAGAATTGTAAGTGAGATCATTGATCGGAGAGAAGAAATGAAATAAAATTGTATTCCATGTATAACCTTGTTTCTCATCTGCGCGAGACTTCGGTACTTTGATCATGATACTCCCATGAAAATGCAACTTGGATTTGTTATGCGGCGGGCGGTAAAAAAATGAAGATAAAAATAATATTTTTTTAGCATTTTATTGCACTTACAAGTCGGCAGGCGCGAGAAATTACACTGAAATAAAATTTTATTTTTATTTCATTTTCAGCTCCTGTTCATTCGGCGGGTTCGCGAAACAAGGGATAATAAAAGTCTGGCCTAAAGCATCATAGAAGAGCATATTAAATTTAAATTATGTGTTAAATCCACAGAAACATTACCTATTTTGACTTGTTTTAAACCTCATACAGACGAGTATTTGCAGGTAGAAATCATTAGGTTACCATGGTTATTTGGAGGAATGAAACAAACTAACCTGTTTTTTTTTCGTATCTGAATAAATATGCATCAATCTTTCTACCATAAAGAAAAAATAAATGCCGAGTAAAACGACCAATCCCCGATAAACCGCTTCCTGTGCTTTGTTGTCGTCGCCATGGTCACTGTGCTCACTGCCATCACTCTCTTCATGTGCGTGGAGTCCGTAAGACTATTCAACAATATAAAAAATAGTTATTCATGGTTGATGAGAGTTTTTTTGAATAGACTAAAATAATTTGTTTTTCTACGCTAGCTGTTTACATTCACTCTGCACTATG